TCAGCGACACGGTTTATATGCAGGTAGCGGCGCTGCGGCTGCTTTATATAGCGACTCGTTGCATTCTCCCTCAACCCAAATCCTCGGATCACGCATTTTAGCTAAAGCGCTAACGTTAGCTTGCCTTGCGTTGACTGTAGAGTTGTGGGTGATGGTCACGCAGATGTGTCATGAGATTTGAAGCGTTGCTGCCTTTCACAGACACTTTTTCTGCACGTGCTGCAAACAGGATAGCCGTCTTCTATCAGCTGTCCCTCGGCATTCTTCAAATATCCAAAAAATGCCCGTACTTCCCACTTTGTCTTCTTTGAGGGATAATAAATGTCCTGAGTGCTGCCGTCTCCTCCTTTGGCCGTTATTTCAACTTTAGCTTCAAGAAAGTTTTGGTTGTAAACAACAAAGTGCGCATGTGTCGCCGGCAACTTCAGCCGATGATACGGTGGCTGGTAAGGGTCACCGCGCCTACACCGCAGCCATGGTAAACCACCGAGATAATATTATTTTTTTTAAAACAAGACGGTTTACCGCTACACCGGTTACCATGACAACCCTAACTGAAATATAAAGTTATGTCGTTTCTGACTTGGGAATTTTTAAACCAATTTTGTGCGGTCCAATTTTGACATCGGGTTGGCGCGATGCTTGCCAGTATCGGTCCCTTTTTTATTTATGTTTTGTTTCTGGTGAGCCCCGAGTTGCCTCATGCCTCAAGAGAAGGGAAGGCTGATAACGATTTCCTCACATTATTACACTGCCTGGATGGAATTCCCTTAAATATTAGATGATAAGTGGCTACGCAGTGGTGCAGTGGTTAGAGCTGTTGCCTTGCAGCAAGAAGGTCCTGGGTTCGCTTCCCAGCCTGGGATCTTTCTGCACAGAGTTAGCATGTTCTCCCTGTGCATGCGTGGGTTCTCTCCAGGTACTCCGGCCTCCTCCCACAGTCCAAAAACATGACTGTTAGGTTGATTGGTCTGTCTAAATTGTCCTTAGGTGTATGTGTGTGTGTGTGCGTGCATAATTTCTTGTCCTGTGTCTCTGTGTTGCCCTGCGATGGACTGGCACTCTGTCCAGGGTGTACCCCGCTTGATTGCCCATTGACCGCTGGAGATAGGCACCAGCTCTCCCCGCGACCCTACGTGGACTAGCGGGTTCAGAAAATGGATGGATGGATGGATTAGATGATAAGGATTGTTGCTGAAAACAATTCACAATCAACAGTGATCTCCCAGAATTTTCTTGTGCTTTTTCGCCACAGGTCATGAAACCAGGAAATTGGGTTTTGATGAAGGTGCTGAAGCGAAACAGATGGGGCAGCCAGAGGTCCATTCGAAGTACTCCTCATCACTCCCACTGCTGTGAATGTTGCTGAGAGGCCATCTTGGATTCATCTATCCTACTGCAAGCTTACCAGCCAACCGCTTTAGCGCGGCAACAAAGTCCGGCTAAACAGGGGTGGGCCACCACTAGAGTGCCGTCTCTCAAACCGGTGAAGATAAGATCAAGATAAAGATAAGATAAAGATCTGCATCAAGCTTGCTGGGTTCACCACATTGCTGATGTTGGTGGTCGCACTCATGGCCCTGCACTTGGGCCGCCTCTCAGCACCTGATGGAACAACTGGGACTGCACCATTTGAGGGGGTACTAGAACTGGAACCGAAACGACGGATTGGGGCTCCTCCCTGACCGCACACCTACATGACAACGTAACCTGCATCCACCTCGGCTGAAGACCCCCTGGATGCAACTACAACCGGACACAGCGAAGAAGAGACACTGGGAAAGGATCAACTACCTCAAGCACCTGCACCCACATCTCAAGACTGGTTTCACGGTCAAGGACCTGTAGGACCTTTTGGGGACAAGATCAGCTCCCTGACAATTGGACAACCGCCTCGACACGCCACGGAAGGACCCTGAAGTCGTCCTATTGAGAAATTGAACTTTGCGCTTCATGTTCCGAACTACGTTATTACGCTCCAGACCTGGACTTCAAGGTACTCATCAACGTAAGACTGAAACTATCCTGACCAACGGAAGAGGACTCCAACTTCCCAACCTATTCTCCAATGGGGACTCTCAGTCCACGGACAAGCCCTTTGATGAAGAACGCCTGGTTTGCCTCAGCTCTGCCATAGTTAGAGCTGCATAAATTAATATTACACCTTCATTTTTCCTCCTTCACAGAAAGACTCGTCTGCACCATGGAGCTTTAAACTAAATTCACCTGATGTTTCAGTACACTGTACTGATGTTTTCTGTGTATTATATGGTTTTGCTAACCCTTCCCAATCTCTTTACAGGAACTGCCATAAGATTGTAGGATTGTGCATCACAGTAAATTCATTTCAATATGTATGAATTGGCTTTTCTAAAGGTTATAATTGTGTTGATTTAGCTGATTCCATTCTCTGTGAACTGCTGTAAGATATTAGAGTCAGTTGTGTTTGCCTTATCATGTTTATTACCTTCTTTGTTCTTATTACCGTAATTTCCAGACTATAGAGCGCACTTCAATATAAGCCGCACCAACAAAAAAAAAAAAAAAAAAAAGGTTTTCCACACACACACACACACACACACACACACACACACACACACACACACACACACACACACACACACACACACACACACACACACACACACACACACACACTCAAAGACAAGCCGCGGTGCAGCAGCCACATGCAGGTCTCCGGCGCACAGCGCATGTACGGCCATAACATAAGATAATTAGACAGAAAGACGCTACACGGAGGTTTTTCCACTGTTGTTTTAATTCAACAAAACAAATTTTAAACACGGGTGAGCACTGATAGCATTCATATTTCTGGATGTTATAAAATAAAAACAGCACTGACACGTTATTACCGGTAATTTGCATGTTTAGAAGAAAAGAACAGCGCCGACACAGCATTAATAAGCCCTGGATGATTAGAAAATAAAACTGCACACAAAACATGCCTGGTTAGTAAATAAAACACACTTGCCTACCAGAAGAAGTCATTCGCTCTCATCTTCCTCCTGCGCACTAAAGCCATTAAAGTCCTCTTCTTCAGTGTCGGAGTTGAACAGCCTCAGAAGAGCTTCGTCACATACCTTTTCTGTGGCGATGTCAGCGTCGCTGTCCGTGTTGCTGTCATCATCCCGGGTGAAGCTGGCTTGAATGAGTTCTTCCCGCTGCCGTCTCCAGCGCCGAACCGTGGATTCATTCATGCCAAGCTTACGTGCGGCAGCGCTGTTTCCCTCCTTCACTGCCAGATCGACGGCCTTCAACTTAAATGCGGCATCATATGAACTCATGCGTGTAGTTACCATGATGAGGGGGTATGGATTTGAAAAAACTTCTTCGTGGTGCCGGCTGCTTGCATGTGCTAAATTAAAATGAGCACTTTCTTCCATTTCCCCTTTTGACTTCCACCTGTTTCACTTTCTGCTAAAGCGCCCCCTGGTGGCAGGTGAAGGAAAACCTTCGGTCAAGCCGCACCTCATTATAAGCCGCATGGTTCAAAGCGTGGGAAAAAAGTAGCGGCTTATAGTCCGGAAAATACGGTATTTTGCTGATTTTTGTACTACACTTTGTATGGAATGATTCTTTGGACGACGTATCAGGATTGAGATTACGATCCACAATAGACAAATTATTGCACCACCTCATACTGTGTTCTCACTTCGTGTTAATTCTGAACCTTCCATGTCTAATCGTAGAGTTTATTACTTAACTTATTATTTTTCTTGTTTTGATGCTCATCATTTTTGTCTTGAGTTACTTGATTTGTACCCTACTGGCCCTTGTGACTACTGAGATGATCACCTTTCCTGGTTTTAGCCCTTTTCTATTACTTGATTTGAGATGGATGTGGCTTTCATAGATAATGGTGACAAGTTATGGAAGTGGATAATATTCCTTATTATTTTACTTATTTTTATTTTCCTTATTTGGTCTTGTTTTGTTTTGTTGCTTCCTTTTGTTTGGTTATCCTATTCGGATAAACAGGAGGGAATGTTATGGAAAAATGTATGTTTATTAATTCTTGATCATGGACTCAATCAACTGAATGTAAATGTATTGCTCTATGCCTCTTTGATCATGCTCACTCACACACACACACACACACACACACACACACACACACACACACACACACACACACACACACACACACACACACACACACACACACACACACACACACACACACACACACACACACACACACACACACAATCTCCCTATAATTAAACTGTGTGAACAGATGTTCGGGGCATTTTGCCTCGTGCATCATGCCACAGTTATAACGGTTTAACTTGTCTGCTCATTGTCTCCTTCTCTCTTCACTATAGGAAATGGGTTATTGATAAACATATTGATAAAATCCATGACACCAAATCAACCTTTTCTCCAGAATATTTAGGCAAAATTGCTCTTTTTCTCACCACATTAGCATCCATTTTCTCTACCGCTGTCATTGAAAGCCCTAACCTATAAGATTGTCCTTTCATTTCACATCTGGGGCTTGATAATTAGTGACACAGTAGACAGCTTATGGTCTCCAAGAAGCTACTAGAAAATTTCATCCAAATGTCAGAATATAGTCACTTCTGCATGTGTCGGATCCTGAGTCCTCCAGGGAGACATGTGACATCGTTTTCTTTAAACATAGCAAAAATAGAAATCACAAGAGTTGTCAAATAAAGACGTTCAGTGAGAAGATGGATCTGAAAGCTGCTCCAATCCTGAGGGAAACATCTATTTCTGGAGTGGCCACAGCCAAGTAACAGAATTAGAACCGAGTGCAGAGTAGAGGGTGTGCTTCACATCTACTCAGTCTCTTGACAACTTGGTGCAGTGATGTGAGAAAACTGGACGGGATGTAAGAGAGACTAGGCTCAACACCATCTGAGCTCTGACAAAGGAAATAATAAATTCAAGCCAAGGGGGGATGAGACTACTATTGGTGCTTTGGTGAATGTCAGTGGAAACACAGAAGCACCAACCTTCCTGGTATGCACCATCTGCCATCACTAGGTGGAGGATGTTGGGGTATAGATGCTGGTGCTCCGTTCCCAGAATGTTCGAAACCAAACTTGAGCCTAGCTCGATACTCTCATCTTCATCTTCATGGATAGCCTAGAAAACAGATTTTGAATATTATTTTGAGCTGGTGTTGTTTTAGAGACAGATAACGAATATATCCCACCTTAATCTTGTTGTAGGCTTCAATGAACTTCTCAAAGCCCATCTGCTGCTCCAGGTCGAAGCGAAGCTCTTCAAGGCGACTGAAGATGCTGTCGTGATGGTCTGCCTCGCTGACCTGGTCTTCTCCACTGCCATCTGAAACAGAGCAGAATCAGCAATTACTCCAACTAGTATGACATCACAGTTCAGTCATTGTTTCATTCGGTTTTCCTTCAGACTGATAAGCTAATGGCTAGTCTGAGTGCTACTAAGACCAAGATAGTTATTTACATGGAACTCTGTTGTTTTCTTACCAGAAGCAGCAAAATGTGGCACCCTGGTACTTCCTAGCCTGACCAACCAACCCCACGCTTCCTTATGGGACGCGTTAGTTCTCTGTGTAGAACAGAGGACGAGTCTGACAGACCAGGCTAGGTGCTTCCTGAGTTTCTGTCCAGCTGGAATCTAACATTTCTGCCTGAATCCCAGCGAGATGTGAATTTAAAGGCGATGTAAAGATTTACAAACTGAAGATGCATGAAGTGCTGTGAAATGATGGAGATTAGAGTTGTTTGATGTAAGGGCTCATTTTCTTTCTCTGTCGCCGGTCCTCAACTGTGGAACGAACTTCCAGTCACAGGTGGACCGGCATCCACCTTGGCAGATTTTAAGTCTAGACTAAAGACACACTATTTTACCCTTGCTTTCAACAGTTAGCTGTTAGTTTTACTACTCTTATTTTATCATCCATTGTAAGGTTTTTATTGGTACTTTTTCATCGGCTTGTCTTTTCTATTGTTGGTTGTATTAGATAGTACTGTTTTATGTTTTCTATCTCTGTTATTGTGCGACTGATCAGCACTTTGGTCAGCCGTATGGCGGTGTTTTTACAGTGCTGTGTTTTTACAGTGCTGTTTTTACAGTGCTGTGTTTTTTACAGTGCTGTGTTTTTACAGTGCTGTGTTTTTACAGTGCTGTGTTTTTACAGTGCTGTGTTTTTACAGGGCTGTGTTTTTTTACAGTGCTGTGTTTTTTTACAGTGCTGTGTTTTTTTACAGTGCTGTGTTTTTACAGTGCTGTGTTTTTTTTACAGTGCTGTGTTTTTTTTACAGTGCTGTGTTTTTTTACAGTGCTGTGTTTTTTTACAGTGCTGTGTTTTTTTTACAGTGCTGTGTTTTTTTACAGTGCTGTGTTTTTTACAGGGCTGTGTTTTTACAGGGCTGTGTTTTTACAGGGCTGTGTTTTTACAGGGCTGTGTTTTTACAGTGCTGTGTTTTTTTACAGTGCTGTGTTTTTTTACAGTGCTGTGTTTTTTTACAGTGCTGTGTTTTTTTACAGTGCTGTGTTTTTTACAGTGCTGTGTTTTTACAGTGCTGTGTTTTTACAGTGCTGTGTTTTTACAGTGCTGTGTTTTTTACAGTGCTGTGTTTTTTACAGTGCTGTGTTTTTACAGTGCTGTGTTTTTACAGAAAACACAGCGCTGTGTTTTTACAGTGCTGTGTTTTTACAGGGCTGTGTTTTTACAGTGCTGTGTTTTTACAGTGCTGTGTTTTTACAGTGCTTTTACAGTGCTGTGTTTTTACAGTGCTGTGTTTTTACAGTGCTGTGTTTTTACAGGGCTGTGTTTTTTACAGTGCTGTGTTTTTTACAGTGCTGTGTTTTTACAGTGCTGTGTTTTTACAGAAAACACAGCGCTGTGTTTTTACAGTGCTGTGTTTTTACAGGGCTGTGTTTTTACAGGGCTGTGTTTTTACAGTGCTGTGTTTTTACAGTGCTGTGTTTTTACAGTGCTGTGTTTTTTACAGTGCTGTGTTTTTTACAGTGCTGTGTTTTTTACAGTGCTGTGTTTTTACAGTGCTGTATAAATAAAGGTGGTACGGTATGATATGGTATTTTAACATTGGTTTTTCTATTGTCTCTTTATACCTTGCCCTCTTTTCTATGTTCAAGCATTTTGGTCACCTGACATGCCGTTTTTAAACGTGCTCTCTAATTAAACAGGGCATGGTTTTAGGATGGCAGGAAGACGCTTTACAGGTGGGTTCTTGTGGACAGGACACTTCTTAAGCCTACCGCACACGAGAGCAAACGGCCTCGAACGACCGTTTGCTCAGATACCTCGCTGTGTGCGCCGGAGCTTTCCGCCTCACTCGCTGAGGCGAATATCTGACCAGTGTGATATTTTCCACCTCACGGGGAGTAAAAGCTCACCGTGCGCGCACTACGTGAGCTGCTGGCTGAGCCAATCAAAGCGTGTTCTCCGCTCACATGACCCCAAGATGGCAGCCTCTGTCTGCGTGTCAGAAAATAAACAAAACGAAGACGGAGCTGGAAACGGAGGAAATGCCTCTACTTTTTTGTTGAAGCGTCGCCGCCACAGTCATTTCAAGGTTAGGAAGGTATGTGTACAGAGGCTGGAAAGAAGGGCCAGACAAGGAGTTTATGCCAATCTACTCCAAGAGATGTGCCTGGGAGACCCAGAATCCTTCCAACAATACCGCCGCCTGGACCCTGAATCCTTCGAGAGGGCAATGGAAACAGTGGGCCCATCGATCCGCAAGGTACAGCTTTGTTTATTTCTCTGGCACGCAGACAGGGCAGGGGGCTGCATCTGAATAGATCTTGGAATCATGTGAGCGGAGAACGCGCTTTGATTGGCCACAAGAAGATTTCAGCTCAGCCAGCAGCTCAGTAGTGTGCACACGGTGAGTTTTTACCCCCGGGAGGCGGAAAATATCAAACTGGTCAGATATTCACCTCAGCGACTCGTGAGGCAGAAATCTCAGTGAAAATCAGACGCACATGGCGAGGTATCTGCTGAGGAAACGGTCATTTGAGGCTGTTTGCTCAGCAGTTTACTCTCGTGTGCAGCAGGCTTTAAGCAGATCGCTGCTGTCTTACAACTCCAATCTCCAGACTCTTATTTTTCATCTGATGAATCAGCTGTAAGTAAGTAAGTAAGTAAGTAGTAAGTAATTTTATTTCTATAGCACCTCTCACAGACAAAAAGGTCACAAAGTGCTTCACAAGTTAAAAGGCAACAACATATAAATACAGTAAAATACAGCCACAATATACATCGTGTCAAATAAAACCAATCTGAATGAGACTAAGTTTAAAATGCCTGGAGAAACAAGTGGGTTTTAAGATTGCTCTTAAAAACATCAACTGAGTCGATTGAGCGTAAAGACAGAGGTAGCTCATTCCAGAGCCTAGGAGCGACGGCCTGGAATGAGCGATCTCCTCGTGTCCTGAACTGAGTACGTGGGACCATTAAAAGGTTTTGATACAGTGATCTCAGCCTGCGAGAAGGCGTGTAAGGGCAGAGCATGTCTCGAACATACAATGGAGCCAGACCATGCAGCGCTCTGAAAGTCAGCACAATAATTTTTTAATTTATGCGAAATGTGATTGGAAGCCAATGAAGAGCTTTTAAAATGGGGGTAATGTGGGCCCTTCTGTTGTCACGGGTCAGAATTCTAGCTGCACAATTCTGGACTTGTTGTAAGCGGGACAGCTCTTTTTTGTTTAGACAAGAAAATAAACTATTACAGTAGTCTAAACGGGATGATGTAAACGCGTGAATAATCAACTCAAGATCAGCTTTAGACACCATTGTTCTGAGTTTAGAAATTTGTCTCAAGTGGTAAAAACAGTTTCTAGTTAACTGCTTTGAGTGATGTTCAAGAGACATTCCCTTGTCAAAGAAAACTCCCAAGGTTTCTAAGGGTAGGTTTTACAGACAAACTCAGATCACCTAACTGCTGGTGAATCCCTGGAACAGCATCATCGGGGGCAATCACCAGTACTTCAGTTTTGTCTGAGTTCAGCCGTAAGGCATTTGCACCGAGCCACTGTTTGATTCGCTCAAAACAAAATAGAGAATGCAATTTTTTTACGTCAGAAGGTTGCGAGAGCCACAACCAGCAGCAGTGGAGTGTTTGATAGGATAGCATTCACCTGAGTCACTGGATCACACTTTGACCTTGGCTGAGTGCTGACTAGCCGTTAGCTCATCAGTCCTGTCCTGTTGTGTCGGACTCCTTTATTGTGTGACAGCGAATGTTTATAACTTTGACACAATCACTTGAAAATGGCAAAAATATCCCTTTAAAGGTCTCCATCATGCTTTTAAGATTTAAGGCTCTAAACAGCACATCTCTGCGGATGCATGGAGGTCTGTGCTTGAATAGAAATGACTAACGACGGTAATATTTCACCAGCCCGTCTCCTACCTGAATGCCATTCTTCATTGAGCTGCTTGTCATCACTGTGGTGCTCTCCTCCCACACCATTAGACAGCAACTCCCTTCCCTCCTCATCACCAGGACTTTCATTAGAACATTCCTCCTCGTCATCATCTTCTTCTTCTTCCTCCTCCTCTTCATCCTCCTCCTCCTCCTCCTCCTCCTCTTCATCCACAGCCATCTGACTGTGGTCCTGATCAATCTCAGCTGTGATCCTGTTGAAAAGCTCCTGACCTCTGACCTCTGGGGGGTTTCCGTTGAAGTCTCCCGCTTCCACAGCTGGAGGACTCTTGGTTATGTCGCTGTCATCCTGCAGCAGCCTCTCCATGGAAGCCCTGATGTCCCTCAGATCTTCGTCTTCATACGAACTACAAAACAGAGCACGGTCTCATCACTCACACAACACTATGACGAACGTAATCATGAAATGACATCATCGGCCAGCTCAAGAATGCACCAATAATAGACATCTTGAAATTCAAACATCCACGTTATGACCTTAAGACCTTTAAGTGCGTATGATAGATTACAATCGGAGTAGAAGAGCGTGTTAATGTGCATCTCTCACTCCTCAGCCTCTGACTGATCATCCTCTTTTGTTGCCTCCTCCAGGTCCTCAATTTCCAGGTCTTTGTCTGGGGCGGCATCAGCCTTGTTGGCGACAGAGTCCTGCTGACAGCTGAAGGGTCGGCTGAGGTCCGGTAAAGAGCACGTCCGCAGCATCTAACAGAGCAAGCAGGGACAGTGACACGCTGAGTATCCAAATAGAGGGCTAAAATGAGTTCAGATTAATAAAAGATCGTAAGAGGAAGTATTACACATGCATGATTAACAGGAGAATAAAGAGGTTGGAAGAATGAGCTCTGATGGTTAGAAATGATAAACTTGGCTTTGCAGATGGCTGCACTCTGCAAGACTACGAGAGAAATAGGTTGAAAGTTTCTTTTTCTGTCCCATCAAACCAACAGCTCCTTCAGACAATATGATTAATGACCCTGGTTCTGTTTCAGCGCCTCATTTATAATACCACTCAGGCCGCTTCATCACATCCAGCTCAACTGTGAACTTCCTGAAACCCTCAGTCATCTTTACAGCTAAGAATATAAGACCTCCCACAGCGGGAATACACACTCACACAAAAGACCAAGAGTGGTTTGTTCTGCTTTTAATCACCTTTGGGTTGTTGGCGTCAAACATGCCCGTAGAGAGACCAATAAGGAGGGCTTTCTGGTTCTTGGAGCGCAAAGGGGAGACGGATCGAGAGCGAGAGCCCAGAGAGGAGGAGGATTCATCCAGGGAGGACTGAGCAGAGAGGATGGCGAGGGCAGCAGTGCGTCGGTGGGCTGGTGAGCGCTTCATAAACAGTGGCTCCTCATGCTGAGCTGAGGCTGAGGAGAAGAGTGTAACGGCGGATTTAAAAAAGGTTAGAACACCAAATCATGTGGCTCATGGCACTTTATCTCACTTGAAGATTCAGGTTTGTCTGCACTCTTCTCCACCTCGGTGCTGCCTGTTGGTCCTGTAGCGCCCTCAGGTGGCCTATAAAGGTAACACATATTAACTTAAAGAGCAAGTCACCTCCAAATCACATTTTTTTTTGCTGATAAACTATATAAAGGAGTGTCTAATCATGACGTGTGGTCAATAATTTGGCACTTCAGTGCATCTTGGTTAAAATTCAAATATTCTGCCTAAAACTGTCAGTGTTGCGCCGTCGTCAGGGAAAAATCCTGCACTGTATTTGAATTTAAATCTGCCACCGCTATTGGCTAAGAGGTATGCTATGATGTCATCTGGTACATTATGATGTCATAATGCCATTGTGAGCCTGTGTGTGTGTGTATCTGTTAGCGGCTCCGCCCTCTCGTCTGCCAAGCAACAGCATTTGTTGCATTTTTCAAACATGTGAAGTAAGTTTCTTGTAGGGGGTGACTTGCTCTTTAAAATAGGTATGCTTTCAAAATCAGCTGGAGCTTTAAATACAAGTGAAACCAACATTTCAATCGTGTAAAAAGAAAATGCTTAATCTAATCTTAAAAGTGAACTTGGCATTTTATTCTAACAAATATTTTAGGAAGATGAATAGTCACATTTGGGCTTTGGGCCCCCAGGCTTGTTGTACTTTAGCTGGAGGATCCGAGGCTTGTGCAGCCATCTCCTCCAAAACCACTGACTCCAGATCTGCTGATGTGACAAGGAGATCAGTTAGAAATATGCAGCACTGAAAACCTCGTTGTACGAGTAACACATCTCATCAGTTTTGTGACCCACTGACCCTCAGCAGCATTGGTCGCAGACACGTGCGGATCAGCGGTCAGGTTCTGATCAACAGCAGAGGCCGGAGCAGCTAAGGTCATCTTCCCATCATCAGATGCTGCTAAAAGTGGGAAAAGCAAATGCAAATGTAATCAGATTAGTTGTATTAAACAAATGCCATACAGTAAATGAACAGACACTCATTTGCAGCTGAACTCTGGCAAATTTTGTGGTTTTTAATTTCAAAGGGCTTTATGTTGGCTCAGAGTATTTGTGGCATGTGTGTATCACTAGAGACGCACCATTGCTAGTTTTGTGAGCCAGTATCGTCTCCACTCCTGCTGATTCAGATTAGTCTCAAACAACAGAATACTTTTTAATTTAAGACTTAACTGAATGTTTTAGTTGTGACCTAAATATTCCACACAGATGTGTTACTGCTAGCATGAATTAGACCTTAGTAATGGTTTCTTTATGGGTTCTAAATATATGCAAATGCATCTCTGCCATCACTATAATTATCCAAATGTCTTTTAAATGAATTCAATTCAATTCAAGT